GGGAGCTCCAGCCTGGCAGGTCGGGTCTCGGAGCAGGGAATGGCAACATCTTAAGTAAGGTAAGGTAGGTAAGGTATTAGTAAAGGAGGCGCGGAAAACCCGTCGACCTTTGTACATAGAACGTGTTCTGCCGCGGGACATGGGCAAATGAACCTCGGATCGGGCCCACATCCCGCTCACATAGGGGGCCGGTAGACTTCCGAAGCGGCCAGGCGCAGGTCCGTGACTGCGGGGCCGGCGGGCGGCATCACCGAGCAGAGGAAAGCTTAACAAAGTCTGAAAGTTACAACGGGAGACTGACTCGGGATGGATGACATCAGCGAGGGATATTCGGGTACGGGGCACGGGAGATCGTTCGGGTAGGAGTAGAGTTGCCGTGGAGTATCATCCAAAATGGGCTTCAAGTTGGTGCTGTTGAAGTGATGCTACCTCACTTGGTGTTACTGACCTTAGACTCGATGGACCGCGGCGATCATCACGGCCTCATCTTCAATAAGTCACTCAACGCAGTGCAACATAATCCCAGTGGAAAGGGTTTGTATTCATAAGTCATTTCTCGCACGAGAACCTCGGCCCACGAAACTATGCACCGGCGTCCTTGAGAGCAGCCTGCCCCTGCTTCACAATAGCATCCGTCTCATCGGCGCTCAACCCGGGAAGCGGGATCCGCTTGCCCTTGGAATCAATCGACCCGGGGGCCTTCTTGTCCTTGAGATCGAGGCCGGTGACGATCTCGGCCGCCTCCGAGTCCGTCAGCCCGGTCGTCGGGTTGACTTTGTTGTCACCAATCGCCTCGACGCGCGGATCGCCCTTTTTCGGCGTCTTTGCGGTCTTTGTGGTCTTGGCGGTGCCGCTCCCCGACGCCTTTGCTTGTCTCGGCTCCACTGCCGCTGGAGGCAGGCTCCTCGTCTTCGTTGCTGCTGCTGCTGCCGCACTCTCCTCCTCTGCCTCGTCTTCTTCCTCTGCATCTCGTGCTGTTACCGTCTCGACGCGGGAGAGACTCATGTCGTCGACGAGGGCGGGGGCGGCGGAACCTTTGAATTCGATGTCGCGGCGGTTGACGAGATCGACGGGTTGGCGGGCAGTGAGACCGTTGAGAGCGGGCTGTGTTGAGACGTGTTAGCATCAGAGCGTTGTTTCGGTGTATCAAGATCTGTCGGGTGTTGTTGCGACATGACAATAGAAAGAAGAGGGAAAAAAAGAAGAAAAGAAAAGAAAAACATACCAGAGCCGATGCACCGCCCGATAAGGCGAGGAAGACGATTGAGAAACGCATCTTTCTTTATTTTGTCTCGATGAGAGTGAGCGTTGTAATGTGTTGTGTTGTAAAGATCACACACGAAAAATTGATTCAAAATTTTGGCGTGGTTGAAACGACTGTCGGCTACGAGAAAATCCAAGAAACCGAGAGCAGAACAATTGATTTGCAGATTGCAAGTTTGCACAAGCGATGGTGTGTGAGAGAGTGAGTGTGAGATGATGTGTCGACACCGAACTGCTGGTGGTTTACAAATGATACCAGGTCGTTGATGAAACGGTTCAAGTAAATCAGTGAAAAGAAGACAACCAACCAAAGAGAATGGAAGCAGAGAGCCGGTAGAGGTGGAGGGTGGGAGGGGGGTCCAAACACTTTGGGCAACACGTTCTTTGATCTGAACTATATAGTTGATTCAATGTTCGGGCATGCCATCTTAATTCCCACGCCATGCGGCGGCCATGTCGACACACCGAACACAAGAGACATCCGAAGTTGAGAGCACGAACCAATGTCCATGTGCATCTGGGCACCGGTATCATGTCAGTGGAGAAGGGGGGCCATGTTGGAGAGAAGTCTCAACCACGTACCCTTGTCAAGTCTGTCGTGCATCTGGGATTCTGGGCTGCCTTGGGGGGCCTCTGCGATGACATTCCACCCGAAGACAAAACCCCAAAGAGATGGGAAGCCCCAGCTGCTCCACGGATGAGACACAGGGATGATGCCGTATATCCAAAACTATGGCGAATCAACTGGCAGGCTGAGACGGCACAAGGGGTCCTTGGAACAAGAAGGGGATTCCATAGAAGTTCCCTAGAAGGCTGGGCTGCGCGTTGGTTGAAGCACGACTCCGTGGACTACCACATCACCACGGAAAGGGTGTGTCTGCGCTGGGTTTGGATGATTTGAGTGCAGACTGTTTCGCTGGGTAGCATCAGAGCGCCTCTTTCCGGACTCTCTAGGGGGTTGGTTTCTGTCATTGTGGGCGACCAACACACCTATTTTTGCACTCTCAGACTTTCGTCTCCTGAGTCTTGACTAGTTAACTCTCTTCTCTTGGAGGGGAAGGGGAAATAGTCGGGTCTGGAAGTCTCTGGACTAACAGCGCAGCGCAGTCCGCAGTCGCCGAACACCTGGCCTCCCACTCGTAGTCTCCAGGTCCGGAGTTCAGCACGGCATGGACCGTTGGCTTTTTTCCCCCCTCGTCCAAACATCGGTCCTCGCATCGAGACCGAGGCCGCGAGCAACGCACCGACCAGCCCGACTTTTTCGGGTGGTTGAGCTTTTTGAAAGGGGGGTTTGCCGGGGGCATTCGTGGTCTTGGAGGGGCAGATTTGTCACTTTGGGCGGAGTGAAACAGCAACGCCCGACTCGACGTGCTGTGACGAACGAGGGTTCTTGTTCCGCCACACGCACATAGCATAATTCCTGTGCAATTCCCGTGAGGTGTTATGGATGTTCCTTGACATAAATGTGCGCATCTACCACACGAGTGCGTGTGTGCTCACCTCCCGACCATGACAAGCCTTTTTCCTCGCCTCATCTACACGAGCAAATGAGGCGGTGTTTGGGTGAATAGGGGCTATCCGAAGGCTCAGTAGGTGCGGATTGAAAAGGATTGGCCACTTGGTGAAGAACAAAGTGTACGATAACTCTAAATCAGAGTAGGCTCGGGCCCATTCAACGTTGGCCAGAACTGAGGGACCGGTATCCGTACAGCACACTAACACATAGTAAGTGTTGCAAGGAACGGGTAAAGTAATAAAGAGCCCAGTGGAAGATGGGCACCGAGATAAGATTGATTGCGATCCGCCCCCAACTTCTTCTAACCCAGGCCCACCCCGGCCGACACCGACGGTTAACTCGGCCCGGAGCCGGACAAAAGATTGCGTGCTGTACAGTAGTAGACAGATTTTGTGGCTCTGCTTTCCCCAGAGCGGGATGTTAGTGTACTAGTGTAGGTAGTCTATTTCATTAATGCCCGTCGCGTTCCCTCCTTACGCAGTACACAGTAGTGCCGTCGAACCGTCTTTGCCGCCCTCGCGCACTGAAAAGATTACCTGAGACACTGCCCCGTCTTCCAAGGGTGCACGATTGTGGCAATGGGCGACGAAAGGTGCTGACGGCCTCCGTGGCAAGCAACAGACCACCCAAGTTCAACAGACCAACGGTTTGGGGACCCGGCCTGCCGGGCTTAGCTCCGCACCATGGCAATACGGCACCAAGGGATAAAAAACCTCACCATCTCGCATCGTCATGCGTTAAGAGTCGCAAGAAGTGGTCACACTGCGAGCCTCCTTCGGTGGTTCGGCACTGGCGCAATTTACTTGTAACGGGAGCACGGCCTATAAGTTGCCAGATATCGGACGTGGGGCCGGTTTGCCGGGGTGCCGGGGCCGCCTCTACTCACTCCCAGACTCTCCAAGGCCCCAGGTTCAAAGGCCAGACTTAACATGGCTCAACTACCGGCATGGAATCTTCTCATAACGTCCAGAAGAGGGAATTCAACGAAGAGGGGCTTGTCCCAAAAGAGCTCGCTTTCGTTGATGGGCCAGCAGTGTCTCATATCCTAGTAGCAGATCGCATATTTTCAGCTCGAATCCCACCGCTTACGAGCAACTCTCTCACGTGGGCTTCCTATTCGATAGTGCGGACCTTGGCGTCTAGGCTGAGGCCCATGATTCATCAACTCGGTCTTTATCTACTGCCGATATCTCGTGATGCTGGGAGACGTCCGGCACTCATAGTCAACGCGGCAACTCAACCACATCTGTGACACGGAACTTATTAATCAAATCGCTCGAGAGAATGAGAATGATTAATGGATCGCTGCGCTTTCAAAAGTAGACGCAAACTCGAATCCTCTTACGGACATGATGAGCAGCGAGGGCCAGGTCGACTGATTGCCGCCTTTCATGCGCATCGACAGACGCTATTGACTAGAACTTGCACTTTCAAAAAAAAAACTGCTTGCAGGAGTCTAATCTGAAGCCTTTCCATATTTGGCAGGCCATGACCAGGACCCACGGATAAGTCTTGATCACATCTGCAAACTCTCATTCGGGTGTTGCAAGATCCCCCAGTTTTACGGACCTGATTGCGGTGAATTTACCTTCATACAGAGGTCTACGTATACAACATAGGCTAAGTAATGCGTGAAAAAACATCTAATAACCTCAAATTTATGAGTAACATCGGGACAAGCCGTCCGGCCTGGTAAATGATAAGCCATAAGTGTACTAAATGCTACTACCGTCCTGCAAGTGAACCCTCCCGACAATGGTCCACGAAATAGCAGGGTCCCGCGGCTCAAGAAACCCCAAAATATTGCGTAGGACGAAATCAATCTGCTAGCATGAACTCCTAGCATGAGTTGAATAGTCTGATGATTTAACCGTTGTTCGGAGACGTAGATCGAGGGATCCGCTCAATCGGGGACTTAGGGGATAATAGAGCCAAGCATCGCCTAAGCGGCCAATGTTCTACAACCCGAACTCCGTGGTAAATCATACTTTCTCTTCACTTATATATAAGAGAGGTGCTTGATCGATCTTAGAGTCTTTTCCACGGAAAACGGGTGCTACTTAGACGAGACACAAACATCACAACAATCACGAGTTTTTAGTATCACACAAGAACAGCTCATCTTGTTTGCCTGCTAGGTGGCTATAGAACAGCCATCAAATCTCTGGTTGACGCCACAAAGTCGAAACCACTCGCTGAGCGTCCATAAGCTACTCCAAGAATGCGGTACCAAGAGTACCTGGAGGCGTACAACAGCCCCAATGAAAGCGCCAAATCACACTTTTACGCCGAGGACTGCCAATTCCAGTTCCGCGACTTGAAATTATCTGGAAGGAAACCAATCATGGCCATGTTCGCCAAGGGTCACATTGGCGTCAAAGAAGAGCTGCGACCTATTCATGTGCTGGAAACCGATACACATATTTTGGCTGAGCTGGATGCGTGCTTCATGCCCTTTGAAGACACACCGGATAACTTGATCTACCCATTTAAGAAACTCCAGCCGATTTCCTTTCGATTCTTCGCTTCGTACGAGATACGCGACAATCAGATACACTCATTCCGGCTAGCGCACTGGCCTCAGCCGACGGCTATCGAGCCTTTCTGAATAGATGCGGCACATATTCGTCGGTAGAACTGCTTGCTGAGAAAAACCAGGCAGTGCTCGCTAGTTCCCGGATTGGGCCATACTTCAAACCGAGAAGGGTGTTGAGTATTAGCTCTAACATGAAGCCACAAATTATAACTACGTTGGTTGAGAGATTGCGGTAACATCAAGTCCAGGTCGCACGCGTGGAGTGGAGTTACGATGACAACGCCTCGTTTGTGGACACCCCGTGTGATAGTATATCACGCAAACTAGTCTGTACGTCTAAGTCGAATATGAACGTAGAACGGACGTCATGAGGGGTAGTGAAGCGGTCGGGTAAATTTAAATTGCCAACCTTCATCACATCCTGTATCATTCACTTACCCAAGCGTGTTATGCACTGGCGGCCGGCTTCCATAAGTGAGCGTCGGCAGGAAAGCCTCAATTCCAATGTATATTGATCAGCATTAAGATGTAAGCTATCTGATACTAAATCGGAAGATCAGGCGCCGATCACCTGTAGAGGCTTGAATAACCTTGTCAGGGAGTTCGTGAGTGAGGTTTGAATGTCTTAGACTTAAAACCGGAAGTTCTGACATTGTAGTGATTGCCTACTCTTGGCTAAAGCCACTCAGCAAAATGCCAAGGCTCAGCTGAGTTCAACGTTCCGAAAAGCGAACGTGCCACACAGATTGCTTTAGTGGACAAAAGGGGCGCACCGCTGATCACGCTCCATATCCGTCTCTAGATACCGTTCTCCCTCTCTTGAAAGCCTTGTCATGGAATTTGAAGCGTCAGAGCTCAGCATTCTTCAAGGCAGATTATGCCCTGATAATTCTGTTCTGTTATTGTTGAATGGTTCGATGCCGGCTTTTTTCTCGACTTCACGTTTACTCAAGAGGATGTCGATGCTTCGAACTTGGTGAAAACGCTGTCACGTCTCATCGCGAAGTTCACCCTCTTCTCTGCATGCGTGACAGATGGATCAAAGAACATGCAAGATACTCGAGGCTGCCGGTGTCACGGTGGCCTGGTACTATGCAGCGTGTCTATATTTGGACTCAGGCTATCAGCCATCAGCAACGGCCCGTTCTCGGAAATGATTATTTGCGGGGAAGCTCCTCCCTACGAAGGGGGCTTTTTTTCCCCTGCACGACAAAGTGCGCTAGCATATTCAATCTTGTAAAGATCATCAGCATGGCATGTGAGGGCAGATACTGAAAACAACACATTGGTGTTGGCCAAGTACGCCCACACTTTGTATCCCCCGAAGTCGTCTGGTTGCGGGCTAAGGCAAGGCATCCCCGGAACTTTTACGGGATGACGATGGGAAAAGTTCTTCGTGACAAGCCAATCCCGTTCGAGTCTGTCGAATGAGCGAACTTGTAACGGGCTGTGGACCCCGATTACCTTACGTCGTGAAGTTGTGGCATGTCTCAGCAGCATCACACAGGGTAGTAGATCGTTCACGAGGGTTGTCAGCCGGGCAACTTGGTAGTTGACCTCTCACTACTTAAAGGGAGGAGGTTGCGTTCATTCCGACAACCTTGGCGACATCTTCGTCAGCAAAATCTTACTACAGCGCTCAACAGAAGGCCAACAGGCATCATGAGAGTCTTTTCAAGAGGCGTTGCAATCATCGCGATGGCAGTGTAAGAAAGATTCCATGCCCACGAACAGGCCAAGTTTAGCTAACAAGTCGGCAGACTTGCCACGGCTGAGGTGCAAGCCGACACGGTCTACTGTCAAACAGTCACGTCGACTGGCACCATTTGTCCCACATTCGTTCAGATGGCATGTCTTGCCTTGTCAACCATCTTCAGCCAATGCGGATGTCCATCGACAGTTCCAACGAAATCAGTCGACTACCCGTGTGGTGGAAACCCACCACGTGGCTGCATGGGGACTTCATATATCTACGAGACTGCAACCCCAACCTGTGGGGGCGTCACTTTCACCACCGAGGCTGTTCCCACAATTGCGCCAACTCCTACTCCCACTACTGCCGGCCTCGAGGCATGTCCAACGGTCTACACAACAGAAATGTGTGACAAGTGCGTACGGCCTATGTGTGTACAGTTGTCGAAAATCTCTCAGCTTTGCCATTGCCCAACGTCAGTGCCCACCGTCACCGTGAACATTGACTGCCCCAATTGCCCTACGGGATGTGGCACCTACTACGAGTACGAGACTGCAAAGCCGGAGTGCGCTCCGACTGCTTGAGTCAACAGATTAAGAGAATTGTAGGTGATAGGTATCGAGCACTGAGGGGGCAAGATATCAGAACATCCCGGCTGGGATGCATTGCCTTGACTTCGACGCTCTCAAATAGCGTCTTGTGGCAATCAACGGGCCAAAGGCATATGGGGACCGTGATGATTTACATCTTTCAGGGCATATGAGTAGTCAATAAAAGTGAAATCTTCAAGAATCTTGTCATATTCACAAAGTAGACTTCGAACATCTACGAATGTTTCCTAGATGTACAATAACCACGCTCCATTTCTACATAAATCGTCATACTTCATCAATCAAAGACGCATTACGCGCGACATGCGCCGGAACTTTTGAGGAACAGTCTGAGGCTCAACGCTCGTCAGAGTAGGAATGACCGGAATGGCCAACCCCGTATCAGCGTTGAAATACAGATGGTCAATAGTCGTCTCGCGTCTGTAACCACCGCCACCAGGGATACCAAAGCGGTGGTAGACAATGTACCAGTCATCGGTGCCAGGGACGTTGAGGATGGAGTTGTGGCCAGTACCGAGGATGCCTTGAGACGTATCCTTCTGCAGGATGACGCCTTGATACGTCCAAGGACCGTTGAAAGTCTTGGAAGTAGCGTAGCCGACACGGTAGTTTTCAGATCCGGTATCGTCGATGGAGTACGTGAGGTGGTAGAGACCCTCGCGGTAAACCATGAAAAGCCCCTCGCGGAAATCTACGAGGCCAGTCATAAGTTGGGCGGTGTCCCACTTGACAGAGACCATGTCGTCGTTCAGCTGTGCGACCAGAGGGTTGCCATTACCCCAGTAAATGTAGTATTTGCCAGAGACCGGATCGTGGAAAGCCGCCGGGTCAATAGCCTGCCCCGTGGTGACGGCCTCATTGTTGAGGATCATGGCCTCCGGCTGAGCAGTAAATGGTCCCTCGGGAGAGTCGGCTACAGCAACTCCAATTGTCTTCCTGTTCAGAGCTGCGTTCTGGCCGCTAAAGTAGAAGTAGTACTTTCCGTCGCGCTCGGCAATGGTAGGAGCCCAAGCATTGCCGGTCGCCCAGGGAACGTTGCCGTTCGCTCCATCAAGAGTGAGGAAGGGTTCCGCGCTACGGGTCCAGGTGACGAGATCGGTAGACTTCCATGAGTAGAAAGTGTTTCCACCCCAGCCCGGAACTCCGTCGGTGGTGACATAGATGTAGTAGACGCCGTTGAAGACCGCGACGTTGGAGTCAGCATAGAGACCGGGCAGGACGGGGCTACCCATCTCCACGGCGCTGATGGTCCATTCCGCGACGACCTCTTCACCCTTAGAAAGAACGTACTTGACTGGAGCACTCAAGTCGACAGTCGAGCCAGATGCAGGAGATGAGGTCACACCCTCGGTCGTGGTGAAGACAGGGGCGAGAGCCGTAACGTCAGTGCCCGGCTTGACAGGGAACAAGACTTTGCTGTCAGTGGTGTTGATGATGGCCGGGACCTTCAAGACTGAGGCATCAGAAAGAGAGACTTCCGTGATGGCCCCAACGTTTCCAGAGCGAGAGAGGACTTCGGCAGCTGTCAAGGATCTGTTGAAAATCGCAAACTCGCGAATCTGGCCCTTGAAAAGCTTGTCGCTAGAGTAAACAGACTTTCCGATGTAGTTCGCAGTCGTAACGCCATTGCCAATGTTCTCAGGGTCGATGTTGACATCCTCGTTACGAGCCACCTCGTAGCCATTCAGGTAAATGACAGACGTGCGGCCCGAGATAGTGTAAACAAGGTGCAGCCAAGACCCTGTGGGAAGAGAGGAGCTGGACGCTGCTGACTTCTCACCCGTCCAGTTGCCTGATGTGATGCTGGCTCTGTAAGGGCTTCCGGTGGTGAAGAGATAGCCATTTCCGTTGCCATCGGCAGCGGTGTTTCCAATGCCGTAGATGAAGTACGGCGTCGTCTGAGAAGCATCTAGGAGAACCTGGACCTCGATGGCAATATCCTCAACGCCCGACAAGATATTGTTGGGAAGTTTGACAAAGTCATCGACACCGTCGAAGGTGAGAGCGCCATCCACAATAGTAGCACCGCCATTTATCACAGCGTGGTTACCGTTTCCGGAAGCATCTTGAAGCTGGGCGCCATCAACAGCCGAGAAGTCGTAGCGGAGGATCTCGCCTTCAGCCTCGACTGCTCGGCGTGTGGCCGATGAACCAGTCAAAGAGGCAAGCTCGGCAGCGGTCACAGGGATGACGGTTCCGTGACGCGGGCTGGCCGGCAGGCTGTAGGAAGATGATACGGTCCAGTTGGGGTTGCCAATATCGGCAGTCTCCAAGGGAATGTAGCCGCGTCCGCCGTATTCATCAACGAAGAGGTAAAACTTCTCACCGTGGACGTCGTCCGGGTTCGATTTGAAGGTAGTTGGGCCCTCAACAGCGCTTGTACCAGCTTTCTTGCCGATGCAAGAGTCGATGATGGTCCACGAGTCCAGGGTAGCGCGAAGAGATGTAGAACTCTCTTGAATGATATCACTGCATCCCGTACCGCTAGCACCTTCGTCCTTCGTGAATCGGTAGTAGGTATCGGCCGACTTGATGACGGTCGAGTCAATTCTCGACATGCCAGCATCCTGCCAGATAGAAGTCTCGGAAAAGGTTACGAAGTCGCGAGTGGTTGCGTACAGCATGCGGTGGTAGGTGCTGCCAGTGCGGTTGACATCGCTGTCCTCGTAGAGAGACGAAGCCCAGAAGACCAGATAGGCACCAAGGTCATCGTCGTAGTAAGCCTCGGGTGCCCATGTGTTTCCTGCCTCAGGAGGGGAAACCAAGAC